AGCAGTATAAAACGACTTATCCCGAGCTAAAGTTATCCCGCTTCAGCAGTATAAAACGACTTATCCCGAGCTAAAGTTATCCCACTTCAGAAGCGGGCTAAAGTCGTGCCCAGTATAAAAGCGGCAATACTGACGTTAGCTCGGGTCTGAAGCGGACCTGACCACCCCCTAGAGCGGGATAACTTTAGCTCGGGCTAAGGGTGTTTCGACCTTTTATACTGGGGGTTATCCCGCTGCAGGTCCGGACCTGAAGCGGGATAAACCCCAGTATAAAAGCGGCATCAGATAACCAGCGAAATTTTCATCTAGTCAACTTTCTCCACTTTGAAACGAGTGAGCAAAGACCGTGATCGTTTAGCGGGGATGAGGTCGGGGTGCATGAACATGACATCTCAGTAACAGCGATAATGCCTATTTACAGGTAGATAACGTAGCATGCAGCTGCTGCTGTCGTTTACAACTGCATGTTAGCGTAGCTATGACAATGCGGCGTTGGCGTGACAGCGCGCGGCACCCTGCGACGCGACACGTGGACACATTCTCTCGCTGTACCTGCTGCGCGAGCGACGGCCATCGCCTGTGTGTTAGCTGCCGCTAGTATCTGCACTCCTAGCGGGAGGGAGGGTGCGGCAGCGCGCACGGTGGCGGCAACACGAGTCATCGCTGCCACGGTCTCCGGTCCGACACGATCGGAGTGAAGATAAGGAACGTCGTGCATGTTCTCAATGCAAACGCCGTCCTGCAGCAGACGACAAAACGTTCACGGCCGCGAGGGGGTAGCTCGGATTTCTCTCCGGGTATTAACACGACTATGTATCTGATGCTAGATAGTATCAGGAGTGAATAATAATAGATTCTATTACTATTCACTCCTGATAGTGATAGTATAGTATGTTCGTCGTATCTCTGTATTATTTATCAACGATTTCAACGATGTATTGCGAATGCGTCTGTTTTCACGCGTCTATATCTTGTTTATCGTGCCTATTTTGTTCTACTTTTGCTCTCTTGTGGTTTAGTTCTCCTTTTGTTCTCGTATGCTGTATTTTGCTCTCTTATGATTCTCTTTAATTCTATTCTGTCCTATTTTGTTTTCTCTTTTGTCCTCTCGTCTATTATGTTTTGTTGTTTCGTGCGGCGAGTAAAGGGTGCGCATGTACATGCATTGAAACACGATACATAAACATCGTAGATACATATAAAAGCCAAATTTCCCCACAAATACCTGACTGATTAGCTTACAGCTCCCCGTAGCTTTATGTGACTGACTGCTACCATGATTAGTCCCTGAATGCAATAACGGACAACGCTTCCGACTTCTGCTAAAGCGATTTGAAGTTTTTTGTTGCGACCACATTGGCAGTCATCTGAAATCATCACTGCTGCTATTGTGCCCCGCCTGACTGCGACAAGTTTCTTCGATGTACGCAGGAAAGGCAGAACCAGTTTTCTCTGCTTATCTATCCTATCGTCATGGCGACCAGCAGACAATGTAGCATCCCCCGCATTGGCCCGAGGGAGGATGTTTCATGCCGTGAAAGGGACAGGATGGCCGACACAGGTGTCTCATTGATAGGGCCACTCATTAGAGCTATTACAACTAACGACGGACGGCTATTGCTATAGCTAATCCAGCGGTCGCCATATCCGCATCGATTTAATTCTCCCTCTCTCTCTCTCTCTAATTTTTGATTTTGTCGAGATTATGTCGTAAATGCAGTAGGTAAAATCATCAGGTAGTGAATGGTCTGTAAGTACATGTGCCCCAGTAGTTTCTCACGAACTTCTGCGTGTACCATAAAACTGTTTGTGGGGACCAGTTAATGTATATATATATGATTCATTTATATATTCACAATAAATATATAGATACCAGTTTCCTTCTCATGGATACTTGTACCAATGGACACGGCTAGCTGTAGTTGGATTTGTAATGCACATACCACTTTAGCATCTAAATACATCTCGGCTTCACGCTTGGCAGCAGACACGATCTTCTCCATACTCATGTCGAATCTAGGACTGCCTGAAAAAATACACATTAATTAGAAGGCATTAATTATGGGGATTCACGATGCGCATCTCTCCTATTAATTAATTATATTATTGTTAATTGTTTTCTTTTAATTCCCCTTAACCCGTGATTACTTGTGCCGCAGTCGTAGTCACGTTGCATGTTGTAATGTGCATGTACACACATACATGTAGGCCTACACATGTCATGATGTCAGTATGTTGTCATCATTGTGTGGTTTATTCATTAAAATATATGTACAGTAGATAAATATGCACAAATACACAAAACAACTACACCACACCCTCACGCCACACTGCCCAGATACTATATACCATTTTCTCAGTGTGTGTCCGTCCGTGCACATTAATCAGTCAATCAATCAATCAATAACCACCTGGAAGAGCTTTGACGTGGATCATTCCTATCACAGCCGCCCGTCCGCATCCGAAAAGATTGCTAAACGCGTTCACACTCATGTTGTTGTTGTCGTCGTCGTAACAATATCACGCATCTAAAGCGCATCTACGGGTGCTGACAGAACCTGTAAACATTCACCGCCTCTTACAATACAGGATCGAACTCGTACATGTATTACTGCTGCTGCTGCTGCTGCTGGTGATTATGTTAGCGCAAAATGGAGAGCGCGCGAGCGAGCATGGAGCGCTCCGATTAGACTGGTACCCGTTCGCCACCTTCACTCCGGCATATATCCTTCGCTACACTGACGTAGTGTAGCGTATGGAACAGTCGACCGGGTACCAGTCTACGCTCCGATCAGCTGGCAAGAGGTCACGGTGGAGGCGCGAGGTCACGGTGGTGGCGCTAGTGGAATGTAAACATACCGGAGGGAGCGGGGCGGCGGAGTCTGAGCGACGCAGCCACCAATCACACGGCCGCGTTTCGCGCACACCCCCGCGCAGCCACAACAAAGAAAATGTGCGGCTGTTTATGTCCGACGCACGTATACGTTTGTCCACGTTCCTCCTCAACGAATCTTCGTAGAACACATATAAGTGCGCCCCCTCCCACTGACCGCAAAACGCGAGATGCAAGCGCGCATATTGCACCCTGAAAGACTTTTCTCGTAATTTTCCTCCCGGCGCGTAACAAAGGAGAACGCTTTTCGACAAGCAGAATGGAAAACGTGAAGTTAATTGCCGACCCATTGACCAGGCAACAAAGACGGAGAAAGCGTGGCCCAGCTGTTGAAGTCCTACGCTACGCCGTACGGTGGAGGGAGGGGCGATGCCGACACATGCAGCATTCGCAGGGGAATAGCTCCACGGCCATTGTTCTGGCACGCGTCACGCCTAGTATGCATGCATGCCCCCTCCCCCCCCCCCACCCGCTATAATGACCCCGCGCCTGCCTGCCTCTCTAGCATTCACCCCCACAGCCGAGATATAGCTGCATATAATCCCCACTAATAGCGACGTGCGACGATACCGACACCTGCCCTGTTGTCGTGCCCGTGCCGTGTGATGCGGACAGCATATATGCACATGTGTTGTTACGGCGCGGGCTTGCACACGCGCCGTCCGTCCGCCACTCATTGTGTGAGATCCGTACATTATAGGAAATATATTAGCGTAGCTTATAATGCGTTATTCGCGAGCGAAAACGTTTGTCCATTCATCCAAGATTTGTTAATGGTCTGCTGACCATTATTCTGCCAAAAAATTGAAAATATAAGTTAGGTATATAGGCTGTGGGTGCATGCATTCATTAATGCGTGTGTAATAGTTCGGTGTAGTGTGTGTGCGTGCGCGTGCGTGTATGTATGTGCGTGTACGCGTGTATACAGAGTTGTATAGTAGCATACATAGTGCAATAAAAATCACAGCATATTATAGCTATACTGCATGAGGAGATATGCATATGGTACAGGATATCACAAATGCGGTCATATAATTTATATATATATATATCAGGGGCGGATCCAGGGCTGAAGCTAGACAGTATTTTTTCCAGATTTTAAAGGCACATCCCCCAAAAAGGGCACACCACCCCACAGTGCTGTGGTGCATAGGTGGCGCACCCTATCCATCCTTCACGAGCGCAGATCGGTGGTGCGTAGGTGGCGCACCCTGTCTATCATTCACGAGCGTAGATCGGTGGTGCCTAGGTGGCGCACCCTGTCCATGAACTCACCCAGTCGGCGCGGACAGAGGTCCCCGCTCCAGCGACCTTCCTTCTTGAAGTGTGAGCCGACGATGAGGGCGTCGGCTGTGGCGGCGTACGTGTGAACGTTGTCGGTTGTCACGCCGGAGCCGACGACCACAGGAATATCCACGGCAGCTGCCACGGCTGCCGACAGAGAAGCAGGGGTCACTCACAAGGTCAAGTTCACGCTCGAAGATATTTACACTTTGCAATTTCACACCAAATTGACAATGTGACGTATACAATACAAAAAGAAGATTGCAGAGGAGTGTGAGTTGACCATCAAGTCTTCAAATCAGCCGCTCCCGTCCGGGAAGATTAAACAGAGAAGAGGACACAGAATGATTACACAACGCACGTAACGTCGCGTTAACTTCAGTGTGGATGCATGGCTCTATAGGGACTGTCTCCTACACCCTGACTGGGTCGGAGGCCTCCCCGTGTGACGTGTATATTTAGCAGGATGTGGATTAGTTAGTGAATCTTGTCGCCGGGAGTTGATCAACATTAGCAGAGCACGTGGCGTCTGTGTTTGCGTAATCTGGCATTGCTTTTGCTGGCCTGGGTGCGGGCACACCCCATACTGATGTCACGGCCTAGTTAGTCTGCTGCTGTGTGTGGCACCGTGTGCCACTGCGTAGGGGGTGGTGTGCGTAGAGGGTGGGCTGCGTAGGGGTGGGCTCTGTTATTACTGCTAGTTCTTCAACCCACCCTATCTCTCTCTCTCGCACGTCTCTCGTCTCTCTGCTCGTGAACTCTCTCTCTCTCTCTCTCTCTTCTCAATCTCTCTCTCTCTCTCTCTCTGCCTCTTCTCTCGAAAGCTCTCTGTTCCTCTCTCTCCTCTCTGCTTCGGCTCTCTCTCTCTCCTTCTCTCTCTCCTCTCTCCAGTGCTCTCGAGCTCTCGTCTCTCTCTTCTCTCTCTCTCATCTCATCTTGCTCTCTGCTCTCTTCTCTCGCTCTCTCCTCTCTCTCGTCTCGGCTCTTCTCTCTCTCTTCTCTCCTCTCTCTCTCCTCCTTTTCCCCTTCTCTCTTCCTCCTCTCTCATCTCTCTTCTTCTATCTCTCTCTTCTTTCTTCTTTCTCTTTCTACGTGTTCTTTGTTGCTTTTTTTTTAGCGATGCATCCCTACACTCATTGCATTATTGGCGTTGTTCGCAGTACCATTATCGCCTCAACTCTCTCTTGTTATTATTGTTGTTCAATCACCTACTTCTTCTCTCATCTCTCCCTGACAAATTATTATTGTTGTTATAACACCATCCCTTACCTGGTGCTACCTTCTTATTGACATAATCCCGCTTGGTCCTCTCTTACATTTCTCCCGTTTCATAACATCCTTCGACTAACTATTGAAATCGCAATCGCATTTGCTCTCCCCGTGTTTTGGCGCCGTACAAGCATAGAACTCAATAGAAGTCATGTATCGGTATTTATCGACTCTCTGTTTCTTCTCCTACCCCCCTTAAACTTTTCTGAGTGCAACTGGTGGCGACGCCCTGTGGCGAACCCGTCAGGATGACTCCGTCGCTGCCGAAGAACTGAGCGGCGGTGCGTGTGCAGACGTCAACGTCGGCCGATGATCGCAGTGCGCGCTGCGCGG